AGTAAGAATTTAGATCTGAGACTACACGATGACCCAAGTAAGAATGACGAACTTAAAAATTCGTTTATATAACTTGAAAACAAACAAAACGCCGAAATAACAAATCGCAACGAAACAACGTAGATATCCTTTTGCGACGTATAAAAATTATTAGGCGACTTCGAATAAAACATTAAAAGAAAATGCCGAGATACACATCTTTAAAATAATAAACAACTCCCAAATGGTTCCATTACTTGACGACGCTGAAAAGAACGAAATATTATTTGGGTTTCAAACTGAACGAAAGATACATTAAAAGATTTTTCAAACATTTATGTGGGGATTTCAATATAATATTACATATACGAGGGGATTTTAATATACACAAAAAAATCAGTGAATTGCAAATGCTACAATATTATGCAGTCATGAAAGTTTCTTTCGACCAATCCATTTCTTTCGCTACACTTTTGATTGGTAGTATTTGGGTCCTCTGATTATACGGGCAAGGTATTCTGTTTTTCTCCTCTTTATGATAGTTATGAGCAGACGTTCTGAATGTATCATTTTAAGAAGTGAGTTATCATATCATTTTACGCTGGAGTATCCCCCAAAAATTTTGGTACATATCTGGACGCCAAAAGTAGTAGAGCTTTCTGCATCATATTATAGATATGTTCATTTAGACTTTTTTATTTATAGCAAGTTCTGCAATATGACTCCAGTAGTAGAAAAACTAATACGTATTGTTCATTCTCCGTTCTCTCCGTATTTAAATTTCCAGATATCTGTATTTGGCGATCATTTTCGTTATATTTATATATCACTGTTGTTACTGAAATACCGCCAATGTACAAATCGCCACATTTTGGTTTGTTGATTTTTAACATTTAAAATTCCTCGAACCATACCATATATAGTTCTCCAGTATAATCGTTCCATTTTTATGACAATAAGTTTGATTAGTATTTTAGTGCCGTAAGAGGTTCCGACAACACTATATACCCCTACATCATTTTTAGAGGTGTTAGTATAAATATTGAAACTTAATATATCTAATAATGATGGCTGAAAAATGAAAACTTATATAGTGAAATGATTTGATATATTTTTTGGACTTTTTTATTTATATATTATTTATTTTGAATTAGGTGTAAAACTAATGGATGAATACAGAAGTCAATTTGAGGATCTGGAAATACGAAGATTAGATTTAATTAACGCTGAAATGCTATTCGATATCCCCCTTGCTGATTACTCTAACTATCTCGCTGCAAAGGCTGAGTTTGAAGGGATGGAAATACTTTATAAATTATATAAATCGCTTAAACATGCTAGAGAGGTAATACCTTTTTTATATTAATATTGTAAATTATGTAAAATGTACATGTATATATTTAATATAAAATTATTATTTCTTGGGTTTAGGTTCAATAAGTAATATTGAATTTGAAACTAGATTGTCAACTAGGTACATTAAAACGTAACAATTGATAGATTACAACATTTTTCAACATAATGGTTACCTTATCAATAATACAATAATAACAATACTGTAATCGATGGTAGAATGCATCTACCATATTTCTCCATAATTGTCTAGAAATTATTCGAGATTCATCGATAATTCGTTGCCTTAGCTCTGCAAGACTTACTGATTTAGTTTTATAAACTGAATTTTTCCAGTATCCCATTAAAAATATTCTTTAGGATTGAAATCAGGTGAAAGTATAGGCCATTCTATTCTACCTCGTCTACCAATCCATCGTGTCCGGGAAATATGTCATCTAAATAACGCCGAACATTTACACCAAAATGAGCTGGAGCTCGATCTTGCTGAAACCATATCTGATTAAAATTGGCCCAACACAAGTTTCTCAGTGTAAATACAATTTCATTTCTAAGTAACATTTCGTAACTATCTGATGTTAAATTTTTTTCGATAAGAAATGGCCCAATTAACTGAGTACCTACTATACCTGACCATACATTTAATTTGTGTGGTCTTTGAGTATGGTTTTAATGCATCCAGTGTGGATTTACGTCACTCGTACCTTAAATTGTGTCAATTCACACTTTCACACAGTGTAAAGGTTGCTTCATCGGAAAACATATTCTGTGAAATTTTCATCATTTTCAATATAATCCATCATTACCTCAGTAATATCTAATCTACGATCGAAGTCATCTTCACCTAATTCTTGGAATAAGTTAATTTGGATATTTTAAAATGTATTCTTACGTAATACACGTAAGACTGAAGAACGACCTACATCATGTACTTGTGCAACCCTGAGTGAGCATGTATGTGGATCTTCAACAAAACTTTGCATTATATCTAAAGTTTTGTTGTCATTTTTTTTCTCTTTTCGGTCTACCTGATCGGTATCTATCTTTTACTTCTACAAATTCCTCAAAACGCTTTACAGTTTTTTGTACTGTCGCATAGTTCTTTTTTTATAAATCTGTTATCCTCTTAAAGGTTATCTTCCTATACATTATCGACATCATCAGCAAAGTCGTTCTCTTTTCAAACAGTTTTCTATACGTCCAGGTATATTTAAACCGTATGCGACATTAAGGCTTCTTACACTGGGGTGTCGCCAAGAGCGCCAAGGGAACGTGTATCCATTCTATTCTATTCTATCATATACAATTCTATTGTTTATTTAGCATCAGGTTCTCTTCTAGGGTTATGAAGAAGGTATGAAGAAATATAAAAGGAAGGTAATATGAGAGTTGGGAGTCAATACCATAGAAAAGGGTATTTGGGAACTAAATGGATTTTCTATCAGCATCAAATCCTGCACGATTTAGCCACCATACCTACTTATTTTTTTTATGGTGGCCAGGATCTATACTGAGAGACTGCCCTATAAGCCAATATATTGTTGACAGTATCGCGCTACTAGAAGGCACCTAATTCATATTGGATATCACCAAAATAAAGCATTAATATAATTAAACGGCTAGATCACATATAAAGAGCTGAAAATGAAGCATATGAAATAACAAAAAGTAAATGACATAATGCAATGGCATCCGACGGGAAAAGGGAAATACCAAGATTTACATGTTTGCAAAAAGTAAAAGACGCCTATACAGGGCAGAAGTCAGAGAATGACAAAGAGAAAAATTTACCATTTTTACTGGGAGTACGTAATGAGGGGACAGCGATATGAACTGCTAAGGCTAATAATACAGGGAAAGATAAGAGGAGGAAGGAGTATATAGGAAGAAGGAGAGTGTCATGGTTGAAGAATTTAAGGGACTGGTTTAAATTCAGTTCTATAGAACTCTTCAGAGCAGCAGTAGATAAAGCAAAGATAGTGATGATAATATCCAACCTCTGATTGAGAGAAGGTACTTAAAGAAGAAGACTGAGAGTGAGCCACAATTTATTTAAAATAAGTTTAATTTGAGGTTTCTATTTTTACTTCAGAAATAGTTCTTTATTTTTCTGAGAAAAGAAAATTCAAAGTGGAACTCTAAACTTAAACTTATTTTAAATTAAAATTGCGGGTTACCCCTAGTAAAAATATAATACTAAATTGGATTAACGTCACAAGAAAATGGCTTCCGATCACATAAAAATATGGAGTAAAGATTGACGATAAAACATAAAATAAATGCATAAAAAAAGAACAAAAAGATAACTGTTTCTATTATTTTTGACGGTATGGACATTTAAGGTTAAGCTTTTAAATTTGCTGCTCATTATGGCAGTATAATCCAGTTTGATAAACACCGATCCTCCTTTAAATTTTTATTACTGTATTAGAAACAGTTTAATAAGCCACATAATAATAAACAATCAAAATGTCCACTCTGCTTGAAAAAATAAGTACGCGCATCTCGTTCGCGCAGACGAAATTAGCCCTGTTTTAAACGGAACAGCAGCTGTTGTGACATTTTATCTGTTGTGCATAGACAAATTAACCCGGTTTAATTTATTTACGGCAACTACAGACATATTATACACTATTTTATTTGTATTTATAGTTGAAGAATCGATTAAATTATTTCAAATGCACTAAATTATTAATCTCTAAAAATTTAAATTACAGTTCTGTCGTAGCTTGTCAGAAATTTGTCAATTCGAGTCTATGTCTTCATCTAAAACATGGCGTTTGCGTGCTGACAAACTTCAAAGGCGGCATCTAAGTGGGCGTTGTGATTGTTACTTAATCTGTAAATAAGCTGTGGTCTTAACTTTTAACTTAATTAATATTTAATTGGGAATAAGCCAAGATTAAAGGTTAAAATACGTTTATTGACGTTTCAATTTCCACTTCGGAAATCGTTCTCAAAATACAAACATTAGTAAATTAAACAAATTTTGTTGAATAGTAATTGTAGGAAATATGAAAACGAATGGTAAATTTAAGATTGAATTTCAAATAATATAGTTCTACAAGCACAAAATCGCTTACCTTAAATTGGTGTTCTTTAGGATTTGGTTAACTATGCAGACCCAAATGTGATTACTTAATTCATCACTGCTCAATCACTTCAATGGATTCCTTCCATGAAATTCTTGTTGGACGTGAGACGGTACCGCTAGATACGTAAGGTTCGGAATTCTTAACCTTTTTCGTTGAAGGTTGGAAGCAAAGTCGTACCTTGTCGGTTAAAATCTACTTATTGGAGCATGCCCATTTGGATATATGAGCGATTGTGTGCGTGGAAGTAAAATCATATTATATCGCGCTTTTGAGTGAAACGTGACCAATAAGCACTTAAGGTTATTCTGCATCATTTCAAGGAAATATAATTATTAAAGATATAAAACGAATTCTACCCGACATAAATTAAATATTATAATAATATTTAATATAAAATAAAGAAATAAGGATTCCCGAATATTTGTTTAAAAAAAAAACAAAATTTGTTTAATTTACTAATGTTATTCCCATTTAAATATTAATTACTTCAAAATGCCACAAGAAAATAGCTTCAGAACACATCTTTTTACTTGTTTGAACAAATTGATTTTAACAGAAAACTTATGATTTTAGATGTGGGGTAAAACCCTTTGGGCCAATTTAAATCCACAAGCTTTAGTAGATGGTATTGACGGATTTTTGAAAACATTTAGAAAGTTGCCAAAAGAAATAAGGATTCAAGCTGTTGGTGCGACTCTAGAAAATCAAATGAAACTGTTTCGAAATGCAGTTCCATTAATGGTGGCTTTAAAAAATGAAGCATTGAGAGACAGACACTGGAAGTTACTAATGGAGAAAACCGGAATCGAATTCGATATGGCGCCTGATCGGTGAGTTTGAAATATATTTTTTTACGATGAATTTTTACTAACTTGGAATAAGACTGAATTTTGTTTGACAATAATAATAAAAAACTGACTTAATTTCAAATGGAGCGAATTTAAAACAATTTATTTGGAATTTACAAATTATCTTAAGATTTTGAATTTCTTTAAGAAGAGGTAAGAGATAAGGGCTTGTAGCTTGGAGATACTTTAACATAGATCCTTACAAAAAGAGTGCGGCGCCTAATAGGGAAAAGTAGCCGAAATTGTACCGGCGCCAATATTGTACCACCGCTGTGTGTATACTTTATGTTGTTTAAATAAACATTCTGCCTCAATTATCAATTTAAAAAAATCTATAGTAGTATTAAGTTAACTATGGACTAGTATCACCTTCAGCTGTTTCTTGGCCTTCTTCTTATTCACCAATCACTATTTCCTCTGGATCTGGAGCTCTAGGAAGAAAGTCCAAATCTGGATATATTTGTCTAAACATCTCTTCTGCCTTTTTTACGGAATAATCGTAATCCAAGTCAGTATCAGGACCAGAACATACAAACACATTGTCTGGAAAACCTTCTGTTAAATCTGCGTTATTGGTATCTGGCAGCGAAAAGTACATAGACCAAAGCATTGAAGGCTTTTGCTTATTTTCCATGTTGGTTTCTTCATTTTGTTCAAACAAACTATTTATAACACTGCTGAAATCTTCTTGTGGAGTAGTGCCTTGTTTGGCTAATAAATGAACTACATTTAAAGGTTTTGGGCAAGTACCTGTAAGACATCCTAGCTCAATTATCTTCACAAGTGGCTTTCCATTCTCTGGAGGATAAAATGCTAGAGTCAAGTGTTCTTTTTCACTATCTAATATGGATTTATCAGTTATTAATGCACATCTGGAAATATACTATTGATTGTTTGACTTAAGGAATTGTTTTGGTACTTTTTCTATACTCATGACAAGATGTTCTGCTTGAATATTTTGAGACCTAACTGTTATTGATTTAAATTTATTATCAGATACAGTAAAACCTTGTATGGTTTGTCCCAGAGCAAATACACCACCAAAACACAGCACTCAGTCTACAAAAAGCTTGTGGTATTTCTCCACTTCCATACATTAAATATAAAAATGGAGTCTGCTCAAAACGTCCTAAACTATCTAAAAATCTTTTTACATTTACAACACTTACATTACAAGGTGTTTCATTAGAGCTCATTGAAATACCATAAAGTAGGTAATGAATCAAATTTGTAGTTAACTTTTGATCTGCAAGATATTGTTTAAATGTTTTATTTTCATAATCATTCAGTTTATCTAAATGTTTAAAGCTGTTAAAACCTTCATCAGTATTCTTTTTCCTACCACAGATACTTTACTGTTTGCAAAAACATCAGAACGTGAGAAAGGTAAGAAGTCCAATTTTTTATTAAACCATGTAAGTATTCTACTAACGCTTCTATCCTCTGAATACCTTGCTATATTTGATGATATTAACAATTCTACAAAATGACCTCTGGCATACTGAAGTTTTGGTGTAAGATCAGTATTAAATCTTCTATATAATTTTAATAAAGCCTCCTTGTCCCAAACAGCAGTATTGGGTTTTCTTTTTCTATCACTTCTTTATTATCGTCTTCATCTTTACTTTCAGTCACTTGTTCTTGATTTTAACTATCTTCTTGTTTTTCCACTTGGATTTTTTCTTTTGGTATCACATGAAATTTGTAATCAACATTTTTAAGATCGTATACCTGATTTCCAAACACATACAAGTCTAGATTTCCCACATTTGCAACTGGATTTTCTTTGGACTTCTTTAATTCCATTCCAGCTTCCAAGCTAAAAGAGGCCCAATGCCCACCATAATATGCCTTTTAATCAACATGTAAAACTCGTTTTCCTACACGATTTGCAGCCGCCGATATTATACCCTAGTAACACACGACGTCCTATGGACGTCCAATATACGTCCAGTTTTGGTCCGGACGTCCCTGGACGTAAAATGGACGTACTATGGACGTACGAAGTGGGACGTACTTTGGGTGGACTAAATATGGACGTTCTCTGGTCGTCCGTACCCGGACGTTCCATGGACGTCCATACTCGGACGTCCCCTGGACGTCCAAACTCGGACGTTTTCTGGACATCTGACATTTACCAATTATGGGATCAAATAGCAAATATTTTAATAAAATAAAAAATTATTTGCGTTAATAAAATAATTAAAAGCGAAAAGGTTAAATCATGATTAATTAAAAATTGTATAGTTTAATATATCCAAAACATGTTTTTGTTTAAGGTAAAGTGTAAAAATATTTTATTTCTAGATAATTCGTTACAATAGTTTTATTATTCTAGTTATCACGATGATATATGTTTGCTAATTCTAATAAGTAAAAATATGATTTTTATCAACAAGATGAATCTTGAAATCATTTTTCAAAGATGAACAAGTGGACAAGTGGTAGTATATACTCTGGCCGAGATAATGTCATTGTCTGTCATATCATACCTATTTAAACAAATGGCACAGTTTAATTATATTTGATATTATTAATGCTTTAATAAATGAAATAAAAGAATTCTATTTAAGCAGTATACAGTGTATTGGTTTTTGATGCTTGGCTTTGTGTTGTGGTTATTGTATATCGTTAAAGGTTTAGTACCACGTGTTAGGTTATACTTCAGAAATTGGTTTTATTTTAAAGGTAAGTGTAATTTTTACTTATTAATTATGTTTAAAAGAAAACGATTTGTTTCTAAGCGTCATCAACAGAGGAAGTTTACGAAAAACGTAGAGAATATTGTTGAAAATATTAATAACCTCGATATTCCATCTCCTTCAAACTTTTATTCGGAATCCCTGACTGATCATTCAGTTCAAATAGTTCAGGTTACAATACTTCCGATTTAAACTTTTTATTAACATGTTAAGTACCTAAAATAATGCAAATTACCACGTGGACGACCATTCAGCTGATCCTTTACAAAGCTCTTCTTTCAATGAAACTGAAGAAATGTCTAAGCATGGTTGTAATGAGAATTCTGGAGAACATTATCGAGATGTTTTTAATTTTTCTAATAAGTTATTCAACTGGACTTTGACCTTTAATACTAGGTGATTTATTCTTCTTCTTATGGTGCCCTATCTAATTAGTGGATGTTAACAACAATTATGGCATACTCCTCTCGATATTGTGTGGCTCTAAAAAGTGCATGTGGCATCAAGGTTTGTCCTATCCCTTATGTATAGGTGATTTATTAAAAATTCATAAAGCAGTTCCTGACCTTTCTCATTTGAGTTCAAATGCTAGAACCCTTCTTGCTTTGCTTCACCCAGAGAACAAATACTCTGATCCATATGATTCAAATTTCAATGGTATTTTTATCTTCACAAAAAAACAATGTTATAGAAATTTGTGTACATTTTGATGGAATCCCACTAAAAAAAGAGTTTTTAGTAGTCAGTCATATCCTATCTTGTTTATATATCCTAAAATTGTAGATTTAATAGGCATTTACCATGGTTATGAGAAAACAAAATTTGCAAATGAATGTTTGATTGATTTTGTAACAGAGGCTATTTTTTTATTAGATAGTTTAAGCTAAAATAATTAAGCATGGATGATCAAGTTTGTGGGGTAGTTAGATTACTGTTACATGTTGATTTATATTTTAGGATAATGAGCTTTCCAAAATTGGCGGGGAGACCATAAATGAATTTGTTAGGAGAAGCCATAAGAAGCTGATCTGGAATAAAATTCAAGGAAAAGATAGTTGGCTAGGGAAAAAGCAATATAAAGTTTTTGAGGACACACATATAGCTCTGATTTTAAAAGCTTTGTAACTTATAAACATAAATCAATTTAAGGTGCATTTAAGAATTTACACTATCACTTAAGTGGCCACATACAGCTGAGTAAGCATATTGTTAACTGTGTCTTATATGTAATTTAGATGGCAAATTTTACCAATTCATAAATGTTCAGGTCTGGCTATGAGATTGCTTTAAGGACTACAGCTAGCTTATGAGATAAAGGTTTGTTGTTGGCCATATATTTTATTTATACAGTTATTTTTATTTTTTACATATAAAAGTGTAATTACTGCTCATTTGGTCATTAGAAATAAATAAAAATGGTTGGGTTGGTATCCTTCTAATTCAGGTGAGATTCATTAAAACTACAGCACTTGAAATTCGTGTGTTTAATTTTACTTTGAATTATGATTTATTCACAAGAAGCAAAGTATAATGACCTAAATCTGAAAATAGTTTATTCAATTTATGAATGTACATTAATTTTGTTTCCAGATGTTGCTTGGAAAAACTCCAAAACCAGCGTTGCCATGGGGAAGGAAGTTGAAACTTGATAATGAAATATCTGAGGAAATATTTAAAGAGAGGGCAGATAAAATTTAACTTGCATGTTGCATTAGCAAATATGATTAATTTTGTAATGATTAAATTGTGTAGTTCATGGACACAAAGGAACAGTCCAATGTTTGAGACTGTTTTATATATTAAAAATAAATACCTAAAAATTAATCTACTGTAGAAAGAAAACAGACAAAGTTCCATATTAGATATTGATCTTTTTCATACTTATGATTTCAACTTTAAAACTCAACAATTGACTTGTCTGCTTTTAATTGCTGACCACGCAATTGTAAGGGAAATCAGAATGGGAAGGGATAAGGGAAGTTGAATGGTTCTGTTTTTAAGAACCACAATTTCAACAATTTTGTCAGTTTCTTTAGCAGTATTCACAATCCTTCTTTCTCTTGTGTAGACAAGTGTAGTCAAAGATCCCATATCAGTAACAGCCATATTCACTCTTTTAACTGTTAAAATTTGTGACGCATGCTTACAGTGTCTTAATACCAATAAAGGTCTTGGTCCAGACATAACGCACCTTGAAAACCATAGGGTAGTAACTGCAAAAATCATCATGTTGAGTTATAAGCATTTCAATTTTTTTTAAAGTTAATACTATTTACTGTAATTCCAAAAATTAAGCTACAAACCTGAAATTTAGCATAATTGTCTTTAATTTTGCATGTTTTTATATGCAGTAAATAGTATGTGAAATGTCCTTCAGGAAATAGGTATTTTAGCACATACGGCCATATGGTTTTAAAAAATATATTAATTTTGGAAAATGATGCAGTAAAATTCCTATCAAATAAAAGTTTTTTAATTTAAGATTGTACCTATTTATTAAAATTATTTGGTTTTAACACTTAATCAAAGTCATGCATATTGTAATATGTTTGTTCGGTTTCTACTGTTCCATTGTTTACATGTAAAACTGTATAAAACCTATGGTAGTGCTCTTGAATAACATTAGCCTTACATAGTGAGAGCAGATCTTGTTTTTTTTAGAGTGGGTATTCCTGGTGGTTGTGATACGTTTTACTTAGTTCCGTATTAGCCACCAACCCTCGTTGTCTTCGCCTTATAGTACTAGTTCTGAGCTCTGTATCGTGGTAGCTTGTCTTAACCTGAAACTTATTTTCAAGTGTTTTCTTCACCTTGATCATCTTAATCTCATTCCAGACGACCTGATTTCCTTCTTCGTCAATGTTCTAATTGTTTCCCATTTCCTTACATAATTTTTTAAAGTAAAATATATCCAATGTAGACATTTCATTAATTTTGTAAGGTTCACCTGATTTTTTCACAGTTTGAACTACTGTGATCCATTGCAAAAGGCATATAAATTGTTCTTCTTTTTAACGCCTTTTTTTTGTTTCTTAATCAAAGAATGCATGTTTCTTCCTCATTTTGGGAGTGACCCGTTATCAAAAATTTGTGGGTAATGTTAGATATGTTCAATTTCTGTATTGCATAGAGATAAAGACAGACAATATACTTATTCTTATTTTGCCCAC